TGGGAGTATTGAAAAAATTGTATAATTTTTCAACAATACCTAAACAATTTCGTATTGCTTTTATATTGCTTCTTTTACAAAATAAACCAAATTACCAAAAATTGGAGTGATGAAACAAAATATAAAACGATAAAGATACTTACCTCATTACAATCTTCTTTATTTTCAATAGAACGATTTTTTTTTGAAAAATATGAAAAAAGTGTATTTCTAGTATTTTTACATTTTTTTCTTTTTCCTTCCATTTTTAGACTTAAAAATTGTCTTCTTTATGACACGACTAAATAATAAAATAACTTAAGTCTAAACTCGTGTACCTAGTTGACTTACTATGATTCACGTATCACAATTCACAACTATGTTTTAATACACTATACAGTATACATAATACAGTGAAAACTGTTGTCAACTATTATCCAGTTGCTCACACTGCTGATAGTAATTTGTTACCACTGACCACATGCTTAATCTTAATGCCTACATACCGTTTATCGAATGAGACAAAAAGTTGTTAAGAAAATTCCGATAACGTGTATAAATCCATCAGTTATTTTCAGAGCATTTACACAAGTATAATATTGTTGGATTATTGACGTACATTATACGACGACATTGTTGATGTGCATCGTCGCTCCGCAATAAAAAAAACTCAACCGACTGCTATTATTTTAGTTATATTTATAAACTATATAGGTACATAGGAGATTCGGGGTTTTACTATAATAATGTTAAATAAGTACATAAATATTTTGTTGAGCCTATAGCCAGTAAAAAAAAAAGGTCATGGGGGGGGGATATGACACCCTAATCCCCCCCCGTAACTACGCCACTGATATAATAGTAACTTCCGAATCCATTTACATGGCGAGGTCTGTAAGTTTGTATAGTGAACTAACACAGTAAATTCATTTTTAGCAATTAAATAATAAATGTATGTTTAATAAACGGAATTGCTAATAATATAATATTGTAACTCTAATTATCGTGGTCTAAAAATTAAAATAGGGCAAGAATTCTTATTAGAAAAATAATCTTAAAAAATAAATATTTTTGAAACGGTCAGACAAGACTCGTTTTAACTTATAATACATCAAAGTTCTATTGTAGAATTATAAAACGGCTCATTTGTTAAACCGTAGGTACAAGGACAGGATGTAGGGACAGGACCCAATCTAAATAATACACTAATTGACAGGCTCTTTATAGTATACAGGGTGTATCAGTCATCTAACAGATTTTTCATACAATTTATATGCGAAGCTGTCGGATCATTGTGATACACCTATATATGCCTAGCCCATTGAACCATGTAAATTAAACCATCAAAAGGAACGACCGTCACAATAGTGTCTCTCTTAAGATCTAAATTGATTGTAATGCTCAAGTTATGCCAGCCAAAGCGGTCTTAATTGAGAGTGAAAAAAGTACTACTTTAATAGGATATACCTATTTAATGAATCCGAAATTGGCCTACTATTTTCATTAGCATGTACATTTTTGAACTACAATACACAAAATAAAAGTGTATTTGTGTATTGTAAAAAATTATTTGTGAAAAACAAAATTAAAATTTTTATTTTGGTTTAAAAAAAAAAAATTGTAAAAACTGTTAAGTAATTTTTAGATTAGTTCTAAACACAAATACTCTATTTGAAGTATATTTTAGATAATTATGCAACCGTATCGAACATGCTAAAAATAATACACAAAGCGGTTTATTTCACATTTTTAGAGGTTATTTGAAAAATAACTAAACGTGCTTGAAAAAATCTAAGGCCCGAATCAGATTTAGCAAAAAAAAAATAATAATAAATGAATGTACCCATTTTAATTCTTGCTCTATAAAATACATAAGATAACCCCCTATAAACAATTTGATAGGGTAACACTACAGATTTTGTTTGAAGATAAAGTTTTTGTATTTGAAAGTTAAATAACTATTGCCTATTTGGAAAAACTACTTTTTATAGTCACTCCATGCCAAATCATCTAATGTGTGTGCGAGTGGATTTTCTAAATGAATCAAAATTTTATGTCCATAAATCGAACTTCTTTGGATTAGGGAAACACATTTTTTGCCTCGATAAGGACCTAACGCCTGTAATTGTCGTGCAGTAATATTGTTTAAATAAAAGCACATTAATTTTAAAAAAAGAATAACACCTAAAGCCATTCAGTAACCAGGTCTAAAAAATATTTGATTATTTACCAATAAATGACAATTTATGTGTGGAACAAATATTCAAACTCTAAACATCTAACTTTGTTTTTAATTTGTTCAATACTTTAATTATTATAATCATGTAATCACTCAAAGTACATATTGCCATCTTTTCACTAAATGCTTGCACATATAACTCATAAAAATACCTGTATACTGGTTATTTTATTTCATTTTATCAATCGTTATTTCTATAAATTAATATTTATGAAAAATCATTCGAACCTTAACTATTATGTTTTTTACTACATTCGTCTTTATAAAATCGGAAATCATTATAGTTTATAATAATTGCTCAAGTTAAAAAAAAGTGTTTTAAACAATTTTAAGACAAAAGTAAATAAATATTTTATTTGGCATTCGTATTGACACAAGCTTAAAAATACAATTAAATCATGCAACACAAAAAATTGCTAGTATCACTTAAAAATAACACAAGGTGTATTGTATACAATTAATATAAAAGTTACTTAAAAGAATAATAATAACTCGTTTTAATAAATTTGACCTGAACAGATGGACCGTTCGTACAAGCGTAGAGTAGAAATTAAGGTGGGATTAAAAAGAGTATGGATACAATTTATTTATTTATGGTACCACTCAGGAACATCTAACCAAACTGTAGGTACTATCTTATACTAAAAAAGGAAAAATATTGGCACATTCAATAATAGCAAGTGACAATAATTGATGTAAAAATATAATTATTAGTTGGCTTACGAATAAAATTGAACAAAAAATATAATGACAATATACAAAATAGATAATTGACTGAAAAAATATACATTTGGACAACTAGTAAAAATACAAATAATATTATGACTAAAAATTGATGTACATTATCGACCAAACGTCAGTTACGTCATAAAAAAAAAAAAAATTGATAAGTCAAAAGATAAAAAGAGGAAAAAAGTTGAATGTGCGATGGATGACGTAGAAAAAAATTCAAATATAAATTCTGAGCACATTATAAAATACATAAAATTATACTTCACTGCTCAAATAATTTAGTTTATAACAAAATAGGAAGAAAACTAAGAATTGAGAGGATGAATTTTTAGTGATGTGAAAAATAGATTATGTTAACGATACTTCTGTCTCGCTCGTATCAGTTGCAGGTTCGTAGTCATCGTTGGCAAAATATTTGGAATGTTGCTGTTCTAGGTACCTGAAAACAAATATTTTAACAAAGACATTTTATAGAAAGGTTGTCAGAAAACAGTGTTGATGTTTCATAACATAAGAATAAAATTATATTTTAGACCCAAATGTTTTTTTTTATTTTTTGAAAAAATAACTAAACAATTTACCATCAAACTATAGTCGATACCTACGTACACGACTGCTCAATTTGAATTGCTCGTCGATTGTTGACTAAAGTTGAGGTTGAAACAAATGTGGCTTTTTTACGGATCAGTTTTTAAAAATGTAAGCTACTTCACATTGTTGCTTCAACCCTACCACCATTTATCTTATTTATCTAACTCTGTACTATACATCCTCAACGCATTCTGTTGTTTACACCTTGCATAAAGCGATGAATCTATTGCAGAAGTTATCTTTGCTAATAAATCATATCTCTAATTATCTCAACATATTCTGTCTAATTCCTACTGAATCGCATGGCCCTCTACGATAAAACACGAGTTATCACTCACTTAACCTTCTCACTTAGCCTAGGGTGACCATACGTCTCGTTAAAAATGGGATTGTCCCTTTTTGGAGCTAAATATTCCCTTGTCCCACTAACTGACTTTCGACTGGACGCTTTTTGTCCGGTTCTTAGAATATGGTTAGGTTCTCTCTTTATCAGCTATCTTATCAAAATATTAATAAAAATAGAGCAATAATTATTAATTTTGATTTAGATTTCGAAAGTGTGGAGAAAGTAGTGGAATTAAACGCTAACTATTTTTAATAACTATTCAAAAAAAAATTTTAAAATAACTAAAATAGAATTTTGGGTAGAAAAAAATATGACTTTTTCTATGAGAAAAAAAAGAAAATTTCTAATTCTTGCCACTCATTTTTACAAAAAAAAAAATAAAGATGTACTTATTGAACTGTATAAAAAAAAATGAAACTTGAAAGTTAGTCAGTGAACTATTAATACAAAACAAGAAATTAAAACGATTTTTTTATTAATAAATTAAAGTAATTTAAAATAATAATACTTATTATCAAAATATTATTTATAATAATAAAAATTGTTATTATCAAAAGGTGCAAAAAGTAATTTTCAATTTTTTATTGAAGCTCTTTCTTTAGAAGTTTGGACAAAATAGTGTTCCGTTTTTTTTTTTTATTATTAAAAATGATAACCATAGATGAACAAGCAAGTTCATTTGATTATTATTTTATATAAACCATAATAAATATAATAGTTTAACTAAATGGATCGTTAAATTACAAAAAAAATTTAATTCTTACTTGAAAAAATCATTTATGCTATCAGCAATGGAAGAGAGCTGGTTGTCTTCGGTCACAAACTTTGGTCTTAGAAATGTTTTCAAATTAACTGAAAAATTGATTAAAATCCATTAATATGTCATCAAGTATCGAATACTAAAATACACATAGGTATATGTATAAAAAATATAATTAGGACACTACAAAAACACTAAAAAATTATGTTTATTAGGATAGCACTTCGTGTAAGACCATATAAAATGTTATTATCAATGTTTGGAAAAACACTTCAAAAACGGTTGAGTGTAAGGAAGGTGTTCTTTTTCACTAAACTAGCTCCTGAACGCGTTTATAAGGAATTAATAAAACATCATTTCGCTAACATCAAAGTCAATATTTCATACGTACCACATAGCCTTAGTAAATAAATGGGTCCATAAACTGTACACCACAAGTCTTCCGAATAAATGTTTTTATATTTGAATTGTAAACTGTCAAGTCTTATTTTTTCTGATAACAGAGCAACAGCCTAAAAGAAAAATATTGGTAAAGTTATTAAATAAAAATTCTCATTACATAAAATCTCATCAACGAAAAATAATTTACTTTATTGTGCACTTCATTATTACGTTCTTTCGCATATAGCAGCGTCTGTATTCGTGAATTAAAATATTGAATAAAAGTCGATCCAACACACAAAGCTCTTTCCCTAAAAATATCTTATTATATTTTCGACACTATTATACTATTAACTTTGTAAGAAAAACAATAATTACCTAACAAATATTGTTGATTTTTGTTTGGAACCGATATAACCATCAATGAGATGCATAACAGTGAATTTGGATGGAAACTTTAATTGCTAAAATATTTTACACACCATTATTAGGCAAACAATTTATTAACAAAGTGGCCAAATATTATTAAAATGTTTAAAACACCTTGTTAAAAACGTTTATCATATTATAGTCGTAGGACAATCGCCGTTTCAGAATTGTAGGCACATCAAATTTTAGTTGTTTATCGTATGGAGGCTAGAAAAATTAATAGTTTTGTTGCAGACAAAGTCAAAATCAAAATAAATAACTGTTTGGCTGTATATGTACATCCGTTCAACACATACATCAATTATCAGCCATAACAATGTTCTAAAGATTATAATAACAATTTTCTGTTAAACAAAATATTTATTAAGATAATAATTTAATTATAAAAAGGTATATTACCAAAAACTCTTGTATGGCAGGTAAGTTATTAATGTTATTTTCTATTAGATCAACAGTTCTGAATGCAACCAAAACCGGATTAGAAGATGGTTCTATTTAAATAAATAAGTAAATTAGTAAAATTTGGATTTTTTTCCGGAATGTTTCAGGTCAAAAAATTTAAACTTTTAATTTCAATTAATTACCAGACTCTTCAGTAGCCGAAGATGGAGCATCAGTGGTTTGGTTTACTTCAGTATTTTTTTTACGTCTGCCAACTCTTCCTTGGTTAAAATGTTTTTTAAACTTGCTGAAAATATTACAAAAGTATTTATTTAATTAGACTGATCGATTCATGTTATAAATAATGTGAAAATTTAAAAATCACTCTCTCTCTCAAAAAAAATTAATATTATTGGTAAAATTGACGACATAATAATTGCATTCGATACAATATTAATATTAAAACACATATTTACTGTTGGTCTTGGAGTGCTTTCATGTGGTCAAGCGAAAACTCATTTACAGACAAAACACGATCATCGTGTACCCATTCATCCCATTTTGTTTTCCACCCTATGTAATGAATGTAGTAGTTCAATTCACCGTCAGGTCCAATTCGTCGTTTTAAGCACTTTGCTTCATATAGCATAGATCTGTGGTAACACAGCACTATGTCATCTGTCAAATAACAAACGATTCAAATCAATTTGGCGTAATTGTGATTTTAAAATTTTTATTTATTTATAATGAAAAGAAATATTGCATATATTTGTATAAAAATGGTTGTTGCAGCATTCTGGTTTTTTATTTACTCACAAAAATCTTTTCTTTTTGTTAGATTTCTATCCAATCAGTGCATATTACTCAAAATTTTAACAATATTTGTTATTACCTAATTCATATCATCTTAACTCACCTACTTTTTATAAATAATGGCTACTCTTTGTTCACTTTTCATAAGATCAAACGCTACTGCTGTTTTCTTGACCTCGTTCTCTGTTGTATCCCCTGCCTGTATTAACTATTCCCTAATCTCATTAATTATTGCTACTACAGATACAAACTTAATGCTACCTCTTAGATAAATATACTCTACTTAATTTTGTCCAGTAGATCCAATGTAAAATATTTAATTTAGCTACCTACTTTCAATATCTCTAAAATGTCCTCATTCGCATTTAAATTTCATCACCGTCAATTTTGAATCACCTTATTAGTTTACTCGGGTAAAAAATAATAATACATAAAAGTAAAAAAAAAAAAAAAAGAAGAGACTGTAATCGTAACTTACTTTTATCGAAACGGAAGGGATCCACAGACATTATCGTACACGGCGGATGAGCACTATAAGTTAAAATTAATATCAAACTCTTAAAAATAAATTCAAAATTAAACTCGATCCAATTTCTAAGGATTTAGCAGTTAAATTATTATCCTAAATACTCAAGGCTCGTCTACTAAGCAGTCGAGTCGTTTGGTAAATAACAACATTGTGAAATTATGATTTTACTGAGGCGTCGCTTGTTGTGTTATTACAGTGCGGGCATGTCCGGCACACAAAATATCTTTTATCTATATTACCATTGTGTAGACGCCGACGCTAAATACAGATGAGTGATGGACATTGGCCAAATTTAAAGTGTAAAACAACGATAATTCGTTAATAGCTTAAACTAATGACTCGACATAAGAAATGGTGAAATTAATTAACGGAAAAAAACCAAAAGGTTATACGGGAATAAGACCTCTATACCGACAAGAAGTCGGCATCACTGATGGTCGGACGCGTTGGGACGAAAAATTGATAAGATGATAACATTTTCCATTTGAATATTTGATTGCTAATGGAAGCAATAAGACTTATGACTCATGAACAAAATATTTACTAATTATACCTAATAGTAGGAGATAATTTCATATTTTACTTTTTTTATTATATATAATATATATGTGTGTACCTGTAGTATGTACTATAATATAGTATACTAGCTGTGTTGCCCGGCTTCGCCCGGGGTTTTGCAATATGCTCTTTTTTTTTTAATTTGTTCCAAGCTAACGGAGAGTTTTTATTGTTTTGAATATACGCGTTTTCTTTTTACACTCTTAGGGGTTAAATTTTGGAAAATGTGTTAATAGATAATTCATTATATTTTGTATTACAGAGTATGTATGCTAATGGAGATTATACCTCTATTGGCTTGCATTTTATTATAATATATCATTGGTCAAATAAACAAATACTTATTATTACTGCAATGATATACTTACATATTTGTATTTTCCACAGAAAGAGGAATCTCTAGAGAACTTGAAGAAGTCTCTGGAACGACTAGAGAATATTTTTTTTGCATTCTATTATAAGTTAAACTTTCAATGAGTTGGGGTCTCGAGCTTTTTTTTTTTGCTTTTAAATGGTCGGCCATGTTTTTGTTTGCCGTTATTTTTTAGAAAAAACCACACTTTGCGCTTTTACCGCTTTCACGTTTCACTTCAGGGACGCAAATGGTAATGACATATAACATGCCTAAACATTCGTTTTGGTAAAAACGCAAAATGTATCTAAATTTAAGTATAGCAATCTACACAGTACGACCTAGTCACGAAGTAACAAATAATTCTAATATCATTCATAATATAAATGATAAATAATAATAATAATAATATTATTATCTTGTATATTCTTGTTCAAAATAACAAGCGACTTCAGCGGCTACCTGAAAACCGGTTTTTCCACGTGGCATTCAGATAGCCACCGACATCGCTTTTTATTTTGAACGGTGTATGTATGTACCTAACCGTAAATTCGGCCGATGGGTTCATAATCGGTCGGATAGGTAGGTAGGCGTATGACAATAGTATTGTAAACTGAGAACATTGTTGTTTATCGCACCAGACCGTCGCACGTTGCCGGTTGCCGACGTGCGACGACAGTACGTGTACAATTTATATTATTTTATTGCAACCGATAATAGTGGCGCGCTCCTACGGAATTTGTCGATAACTCATTGGGATGTTCCCCCCCCTTAAGGGGCCTCTACACCTGCGTTTTTTTAGTCGAAAACAACTCATTCTAATTCAAACGTACTGTTCCTATTAATTTTAAAATTGTGCCACGACCACCGATGCCTTGGAAATGTTGTGAAGAATTCAAATGTTTTTTAAAAATTTAAATCGAAGTATTTTTAAGGACAGTACGTTTGAAGTAGAATGATGTATATTAAAGTGAAATTTCAATTTCAAATTTTGTGGCTTCAAACAGTTTATTGACTTGTGCCTGCGAGTGCGTGACACTTCTTATCGACCGCTATCGTCGTCGTCGCATGGCACCCGCAAATAGCAGATGAGGATATTATTTTTAGATATTTTGTCATGTACGGTGTATAACGAAATACTATTAAAACGAGGATCATTGGCAGAGCATTGCAATTTATACTGAATTGTAAAAATGATCGTTTTTCTACAATTTAGATTTTAGTCATTCGAGTATTCGACTAGCGTTGTTGATGTTGTCCATCGTCAGGTCGTCTTATACTCACACAATTCATATTTTATATGATTTATATTTCATATAATAATGAATAATAAGTATACTAGGAAGTATTGACCTAAGTATAGAAAACCCTTATCTCGCTGGATAAAGAATAAAGGGAATTTAAATTCGCTGAATAAAAAAAACTATCCAGAGAGAGGTTAGATCATGCTCCGTGAGTTACCTAATATTATGTCTTGATGATTAAAACGAGTCCTTATGTATTATATTTTTAAGAACGGCATATTTTACCAAAAAACAATTTTTGTTTTAGCTTCGGTGCGTAGTTGAGAAGGTATTGTTTTTACAATGATGTGTTTTTAATTGTATTTATTTTTGTTTTTTGTGTCTGCACGTATCTTCTATGCCGTTAACCGATTTCTTCATGTATTTACTTTATATATTAGAAATCTCTAACCCTTTGGCGGCTGTCTTGGAAAAAAAATTAAACACCATAAAATACTGTTTTCTAACGTGTGACTGACTTGTAAAATTAAACGCCACCGCAACAGAATTTTTCCTACCCATGACAGTTTTAATCCCAAACTGTCTCCGAGGGTCATGATGAACTGTCCAGATTAATTTGATAAGTAAAATAATATATTTACCAAAATGTTTTCAACTATTTTTTATAAACGTTTCACATTTATGAATTGTAACAACTAACAATAATAGAGTTATTTGTATTAAAGTTGCACTATTTTAACGGCAACTACGCATGAACGATTATAGTTGAGATTATATTGTTTATTCTCACAATATTCAATCACTATTTCCACCAGCCGATCGTTCTGACTACAAGGGTTGGCCGTCACAAGTGCCTCCCGTTCTAAATCTAAATCTTATCTAAAAGTTTATTTCTTGGGGCAAAATTTTGAAAGTTCACTTCTTCCCCTTCAAAATTGGGAAAACACATAAAAATGTACATATTACTTTTTTTAAAATAGTCGATTATGTTCCAAATTTCTATGGAATATTCTTCGGATAAAGTACTATACAACGTAAACGGAAAAACGTTGACAAACCAAAAAAATATCTTTATATATTAAAATTGTATTAATTTATTACTATAGTTATAATCAAATTTTCATCGATAACTGCTAGTCTGTTGTTATTATATTTGTCAAAAGTAAGTAAGTAAACTCGTAATTTTTAATGTCTAGTAATAATCATTATCTTCGTGCTTCTGTATGTCTGTGTATATACTCCTACAGAAATAATATAAATGCGACCCCAGATACAATTAAAGTAATATCATTTACCTGTCCGCGCGTTAGGCGATAACATTTTAGATAGTATGGAATCAATAATAGTGGTTACACCGCAATACGTCGCCCGACAAAACGTCGCCGGACAAAAAATCGACAAAACGCCGCCCCTAAAAAGACCGCCTCCCAGTAATGCCAACACTAACAATATGTGTGTACAATATACGATTATTAACGGTGCTAGTTGTGCTGCCAGCATGACATATTATTAAGGAGTAAATAGTAATCATCCATCTGATTTGATCATATTAATTTTTAAACATTTATTATTATAGTTAAATGACGATTGTTAATGGCATATACCTGTGCTGTTACAAACATTTTAGGTTACATTTGACTTATAAATTAAAAATGTAGTACAGGTAAACCGTACGTATAATTCCCTAAATTAGAATTCGTCTTGGCCAGCTTTTTCCACTGCATTCACGGTAACCACGCCACAGCGTTGAATATATATCTCTATGACTCCATATCGATGCTAAAAAAGCAAAAGGTCGTAAACGT